ACTACTATGAGATTAAAATGGGAGTGAAACAAATCCACTACAAAAGAATAAAAAAATCGACGTAAGAGTTTTACCTAGGTACACTGTATAGTGTAGCCAACAAGTAGCTTGCTTTATAAGCTGTATTTCGTTTATAGGGACGATTAAACAGTGAAATTAAGAGTATGTAGACATATATTTGACGATCTCAGTAGTCCACCGGTTTAGCACATCACTTTACTTCCGACGGTCCCGGGTTTGATTCCTCTCACAGTGCAAACATTTGTATACATTAGTTTGATTGTTTGTATTGGTCTGGGTGTTTCCTGTGTACGCTATGTATGTATTTAAAAAAATGTATATCTAAGCATGTATATCAGTTATATTGTATGCAAAACATAAGCTCTGCTTAGATTGGAAGTTTATGGCGGATATTATTATTATTATATTATTGAATAATATGTTGTATATAGGTAACATTTCTTTAATCTAATTTTTAAAGGCAGGGAAGGTAAGATACACAAATAAATGACAATAATAACGTCGTATTATTTATTTTCGTCTGTGTTCCACTCGCCCGGTACAGATACGGGCGGTGTTTACTTGTTACGTTAAATACACGTATGTAGTAACGCTACATTACCAAATTGTCGAAATACTGATATTATTTTTAGGGCAAGAGCCCCCGCAACACAAACTTACTGCGGCAGCGGACGCGAGAGGCAGACGACACATTCGTATGAACACAAATCTAGGTACATACCTATGTATATATAACTCTATTCCCATAATATATACTCTATACAGTGAAAATGGACACCAATCGTCATATTTCCACCAATAAAATCGGAAGAAATCAAAGTTATTTAAATACTATGTACACGAAATATAATATCTTAATAGACAACAAATTGTGTAACTATAACAAGTTCAATTTGAATCCTATAAGTACATGTGAGATGTATTATTAATTCTGTATACAATTCCTAACATTTTAACAAGTGAATTACAAAGCATTGTCATTTGTTATTGAATTACAACAAGAATTAGGTAACAGATCATAAGCAATAGTCGTAGGTAGCTTAAAATATAACCACTGAGTACCAAAAGTCTGTCGATAGTCATTTTGGTACGTAATCCATTCATATCAGCATCTCTATTAATCTCGTAAAACTGTAACACTAACAATACTTTTATCCAATCCGCAATTTATAAAAGCCATTTTATTTAATATTAAACACCGTCGACCATTCACTAAATAGCATTTACACTCAGTGGTCGAATATTCCCGCTACCTCTACATCTTTAGTGCACACTTCGCTCTGAGTCTGCGCAGACAAAAGATAATCTTTGACGTCCGTCAGGGTAAAACACATAGAAGTATATTACATAAACCACAAGAGTGCATGGCAAGTCCCTGACGAATTCAAAAACAAATTTTGTCCGCGAAAACAGTTCATCGTCTGCGCAGATATTTTAGGGATCGGCATGAAAACAGTTTCACAGCGACGCCACCGCCACGAAAAGAATTGTGTCTTAGGCCCCTTATTTATAAAGTGGAAAATTTACTTACTACTTACATTTACTTTAGCAATTAGAGTCTTTTATATACTTCTTAATATTAATTTTGAAAGAAACTCGCATCTCTCACACGAGTTACAAGAAGGTTAAAAAACAGTATTATTTGAAGATTTACGTTTTTATTAAAATTTATTTTATATCACGGAAATATATATTAGTTTTAAGTATATGCCGCTAATTTGTAATCACGTTTTAATTGTGCCACGTCGCTGTTCCACGCAATCGACTATATAATATACACCAATTACATAAATATATTTCATGCCTTTTAGAGAAAGAGATATCGACGCGAAGTGTGGACCATAGGACCTAGATAGGTGACAAATTATTCTAATCATTATAGCAGATAGATCGCCGCCGCATGCACGAGATGGAATGAGATAGCAATGTCTGGGCGTCTTGGTCTCGTTAGTGCATCAATAGGTTCGTTTGCCACTTATCTAAGGCCTCATGTTAGAGGCGTGGTGGTCGTAATTCGGTTTGGGCGACCTGTTGCGTCCGCGGCCGCTATGAAGCCAACTGAAGCTGTGCGCCGTAGTCACTACACACTACACGCCGGCTACCGACTGTCGAGCGACAATTCAAGCTACAACATTACGGTATATTGTCTATTTATTTCGTATTATTAGACAGAACGTCACAAAGATAATAATATACTTAAAGAAGGTGGACTGGAATTTGAATGAAGAATTGTATTATATCTAAAGCACTTCTTTCTAATGAAAACAGTGCATAATTTATTTATAGTAGTTTAGTTTTATGTGCACTATAGCATGGTGTAGTTTCAAACAAATCAACAACCGTAGATCATATATGAAGACTTATTCTATTCAATATTACAATTATTAGGAAATGTCAATTATAAATAATAGAGTTACTTACTAGGATAAATCTTCGTAAATTCAGTTCTTTTACAGTAAAAAGACTAAAACGTTAGCTGTCGCCTACACCATGCTACAGTATGTCGAGTTTAGAATGTTATATTCCCTATTACAATAACAACAATTACTTTAAGTTTTTTCCTTGGGAAGATGTAGTTTCTGTACAATAAAATACTCGTGACGTTCAATATCTATAAATACGAAACCATTACTAAAAATTCCCATATAGACATTATTATAAAGTATTCACGATATACAAAAATATCGCTACATATTATCGTAGATAAAACTTCATGTAGTTGTGCTAAGAATACGTACTTACGAATTCTACATTACAATACTCTCCTGCGACAGTCTATAACCATAATCACTAGAAAAAACTTGGTGACAGTATAGAATTCCTAAGTAAGTATAATGTTACAAGTTATAGAGGTATAACCACAGAAATAGATAGAGATAGATAATTAAAAATATCTCAATTTGAAAAAACACTGTCTCGTTTAGAATATTTAATTTGATAGTAGTAGATAGATAGGAGATACAGCTGTGATGTCTATCCCTATCCATATCTGTAGGTAAAGGCGAGGTTCTCCAACATAATACCCTAGTATTACACATACAAACGAGAAACAGTACAAAAGTAAAAGTATCAAAAACGTTTTGTGTCCCACATCAGTCGTAATATTTGTGCAAATCTATAAACAGTAGATATAATTAGCCAAAACGCTTTGAAGTGTCGCTCAAAAGTTTATAGTAGCCATGTAGCCTCCGGCAGACATAAACAAGTGTATAACATTATGGTTTCTACAATAAATGGACCAATAATGGCAGTGATGGTAGCTTCAATGCTGTCATTGGTCGATTTGCCCACTCATATATGTCTAGCAGACGCTAGATTAAGAACTGAGGTGTTATTTTCGGGTAATGATTTCTAATCAATGTTTATCCATCACAAAATATTAACAGGCTTTTAAATCTCTATGGATTGGACTTGGAGTTGATAACGATATTTGCGGAGCCCCATAAATTCAGGTTCTATCCTTAATCATGGGTAGTCCTGAACTGATGTATTTTTAATAGATTTACTGTGCATATATTGTATATGTTAAATATGAAAGCTATAGAAATATTTCGTTGGCAGTTATAGTTATTACATTGATTATACCCTCATCGTCGTTTATATTTATTAAAATATGTATAGAAGTAGTTTTGTAGGCAGTGATTTTTTAACAATAACAATTTGCATGTTCGAATCGGATGCCGTTATGATCGTTCGTTTCCACTTGTTTTCGAACGTGCAACTTTTGTTTTGTTTGAATATAACTAATTAGGAATACCAATAGACTTATATACTCCCAGTATAACAAGTGCAATATCCGAACATAACACCTCTGATCTTGAGAATGCGACCGGATCCAATCGCTTAAATTACTCCTCTCCTTCATAGAATTAGCGACTCGTAAAAATGCTTTACTAATAACTATTTTATTTAATATATCGTTATATTATATGCATTATGTTATTAATAAACAAGGATTATTTTAGGATATTCTTGATAACAGCGTTGCGTTGCGTTGCGTTTTCATGTGACGTAATCGCTCGTTCTACGACGGATACTTTTCGAGTGGTGCCTACGAGCTACTCTGATATGGTCTCAGTCTCAAGACAGTCCGTACGTCTGATCTATGATACACTCTCCCTATTCGAGCTACTAGCTTGTGTTCACAGTCGACACTCCACAGCTACTGGACATACATGTGAGTATTGATCAATAAGAGTCTGTATGTCCAGATATAGGGTTGAAATTCCGTTTTACACGAGTCATTATTTAAATGATGCATCAAGACAGTTTCTTATAGGTAGCACATTTTTTTACTACTGGTATTAATGATGAAATCGACAGTTTATATATAACTACCTGACCCAAGCAAATTCACCTGCGTCATATTTTGCAACATTTTTCATTGCTTCTCCAACCATTTTGGACGTAGCGTAATGTTAATAGCCTTTCTCGATAAATGGACTATCTAAAACTGTAATAATTCTTTATAATATTAATATACAACTATAGATTAATAATACAATGATTCATTTAACAGATTTGAACCCCAAAATGGCGTGTGGCATGTCTAATGTACACACAAGCACCTGATATGTGGGATGATGTGTGTAGCGCCGCGGGCCGACTGCCGCACTCCCACCCGACGGGTACAAAACTGGAGCGTACCTACATATACGTATATTATATACAATGTACAATACAATATCATAAAGACAGGCAATGACGATCCAAACAAACATCCTCATGGTTCATATATTACATAACTGTTTACAGAGTTATCCGATTATGATGATTATTTTGTACTAGATAGAGCACTCTATTCAGCAAGAAATGACGATGAATATCAAACCATGATAATAATTCCATGTAAATTTGAAAAGAATGTGTATGTATAGGTAGAAATAATATAGAATTTCAACATAATCGGCTTGAAGCAAAAAAAATGTATATATTTGAAGCACACACACATACACCTGCTGCCTAATAAAAAACTGGTTAACTTTGTAAAAAGTTGTACGTGGATCCACCTGGACGACATCCGTTTGGAGGCATCGTCAGTGCGAGGCTTAAAGACTATAGTGGCTACGGGGCGGAGCGGCGGCGGCCGGCGAGGCAGTATTAGTACTGCATCTCGCGCGTCAGCAGGTATACATTCTCACAGTAATATACTCGCTCTATATATAACAATTACACGAACGCGCACCACGCTCGTCAATAAACAACATAATATACAGCGGAATCGTAGCACTCTTTCGATTCGATTAAAAAAATTGACTAGAAAATCTCAATTCGCTATGGGCACTATGTGTGCGTGGATGGCGAGGAGAAGATGTCGGCGGCGCGCCAGGCCTCCGCCTCCGCCTCCGCATCGTACTGCTGCAGGAACGGGTTCGTGGAGCTGTACCGGGGGCTCAGCCCCCCGCCGGTAATGTTCAGCGTCACGGCCAGGCCGGCCGACGTGCCGGGGATCGCGGACCGCGGCGACTCGCGCGATCCCGACTCACGGGGCGTCAGATCTCTCGGCGTCATCTCCCTCGGAGTAAGATCGCGTGGCGTCATCTCCCTGGAGGGGATCTCGCGCGGCGTGCTAGTACGCGGGGAATCCCGGGGAGATGCACGGGGGGAATTCCTTGGCGACATGCGAGGCGAGCACGCGCGGTCTGGCTGGCGCAGTATCGACGAGACGGAGCCGCCGTGCTTGATGGTGTCGGCCGGGCTATGACTGCCGGAGCTACTGCTGGGCGAACCTGGAGACGAGACTGTCACCTGACGGGAGCGAGGCGGAGCGGGCAGAGGCCCGCGGAGAGGCGACTGCGGACGATATTGGCCGCCCCTGACTGATGAGAGAACCTGCAAGTGTAGACATACACCGTGAAATATGTATGCGATTGGCTGTTTTTCGTATGTTACAAGAACAAGCCAAAAATAATCTATAGCTGTTTTACGTTGTTAAAAAAAAACAATTCAAATATCTGCAACTCAGCTTAGTAATTAATATTCATTTTTAACGAACTAAATACGAGTATTATATAAAGTTTTTGTGAAAACGTTTTCTTTCCTATAAATCTAGCAACAATAGTATACTCTACATGTTTTTTTTCTAACATGGCAATTGCGATTAGGATTTTACATTACGATTCGGCTAATAGGTATCTCTTATACTAAATACTTTATCTTTAAAATTCATTGTAGAAGAATCTATTCGACTTTTCTATATGAAAACTTAAAAATATCCTTTATTCGTACTTTATTTTGAATTTACTCGACCAACATTTCTATTAAGACGTCGAGAGAGTAATGTGCCTTCTCTTGATACAAATATATCGCTTTTGGTACCAATAACAATGAGGTAAAAAGAATCGTGTATATTTACATGTACGGGCGGCGAGCGGTCTGGCACGGGCCGACCCGAGAGAGCTGGCGGCGGAGATGCTGCTGATGCTGCCGCTTGAGGCCGATATGGACTGACTGAGGGCGGAACTCGGCCTGGCGAATATTAGTAACATTGGTTTAAGTACATATGTGTATGTTAAATAGCAATATATGAGGGTGTTTTTTAGCCTTAAATAAATCTAGAGGACGGATATAGAACAAACAATATTGCAATATCTTGTATTGATAATAAAAATTTTCCTTGAATAAAGAAATTAATGATTTCATTAAATGGATACCATTCATATAGATAAGTCTACGAAATCGTACATACAGAAAGAAATTAATTATTTCATTAAATGGATACTATCCATATAGATAAGTCTACGACGTCGTACATACAGAGTGTAACATTTGATGATTATATTGAGCACTGAATGTAGAAATATGATAATGTAATATGATAATGTAATCTGATTTTATTACAATGCCATCATAAATTTTACGTTTACCTACTTAGGGAAAAATAAAAAATTATAATATTTATCCACAATTTTGTAAAATTACAAAAACTTCACAGAAAACAACAAATTAACACGCTATTTACAGTTTAATTGTATTTAATTTTATTTACAATCTAAAAGATTGTAAATAAATTTATTCATGTCCTTTCAATTTTGGTACAATAAAGTGTTATATATAAATAAATTTAGAAAAATTACAAAGTTACAAAGGCACAGCTATATCAAGCAAATTAAAGACAAAATGGGTGTCGAGTCGTATTAAAATTTAAAAATCATGATGGAATATCGTGGAAAATAGCAAGAGCTCCACCGACAAGAGCATGGCTCTTTAAATATGAATGAATAAAAAAAGTTTTTACATTATTTGATAGAAAAGTAGTTAAAAAAATTAATGACCTGGGGGGAGGGTGACTGAGCCCGCTAGCGACGCACTGACTTTGCTTCCACGCGGCCCGGTTGCTGGCTCGCCGCGCCGAACTGTCTACAAACATACATGCGTTAAGGTACCGCTAAGTTCTTCAACGTATTGTAAATGACGTATGACTTTGAAGAACTAGCTTTCTATTTACGGTAAAGGTTATTAATGACAGTATTAGTAGTAAAATGTTGTAGTGTCATATAATGGTGAACCTTAATGCCATACGTATTAAGGTCGCGTTTTTGGAAGTGTTTATAAAAATAATTCTATTCAGTTACGTTTCAGTCTGCTAACTAGTAGAAGTGTAATTACTACTAGTTGTCTAATTAAGCACATCTTAATGTAGCGCCTAGTAGAAATAATAACAAAACTATAATTTGTTACATGTTTAATTAATAGGAAAAATAAGACATAACATAAGTAATATCTATTCATCGGTGCCATTTAAGGCCTATGGCAAATTCATAGGATGACACTCTCTCTTTATCGAAAAAGAATGATCGTATAGCTTATCAATTTAATTAATTCAGTTCATATTAATTTTTAAAGTAAATTATATAATAATTTTTTTTATCTTCGCTATCCTGTCGAATATGCGACCCACTTAAGTCGGGCCCCGTAGTAATATTCCTGCTCTACTACCCTAGTGTTTACAATATATCTTATTATTAATATTATAAACGCTAAAGTTTGTAAGTATGGATGTTTGTTACTCTTTCACGCAAAAACTACTAAACTGATTTTCATGAAACTTTACAGTAACATAACTTATGCATAAGAATAACACATAGGCTATATTTTTTATTAAACGCGGGTGAAACCGCGGGCATAGCTAGCATAATATAAATGGATATTAATATTTTCAAACATTACTTTACTTACATTACTACATCTATATCGTTAATTGCTTTCGAATAAATTCTGTTATTATCTGCTCCTTTTTAAAAGTGTATTTTATAAATACGAAGGACGTTTGAACTTTGAACAGTAATATTTTATATTCGAAATTGTTTTGTAATGGAAATATAATGTGAGATTTTTTTTATTGTCTAGTAAAATATATATTTACATCTTCCGGTACTGGTAAGTTTTGGATTCAACAGGAAGCTATATTATAACAATTCGTGTTCATATTCAACTAATGTTTAAATTATCATTGTAAATACTCATAGGTCCTATATCTAATTATTAGGCGAAGCTAAAAAATGAAGAAAGATGTAAATAATTTTATGTGATTTAAAAATGTTATTAAGTATAAACTTTAACACATTTTGTCAAAAACATGAAAACGTTAATTATGACGCTTATTAAAACATTCGAATTATTTCTAACATTTTTAAAGATATCGTAATTTAGAATTTATATATATATGAACCAAATTTGAATCAAAGTACAAAATGTTCTTTTTACAATTATGTTGTGAGTCATAGGGAATTATTTATACAAATAAAACAAAAAATATAATGTATGTAAGATACATTACGTTTTGTACATCTATGTAAGGCATTCCAAAATATATCAAAATAACGTCATGTACTACATATTTATTTATTTTATATATATTAAAATAAAACGAATAAAGTAAATAACAAATAAAACAATTAAATTAATCACCAACAATTGAATCAGATGACATTACCTGAACGTTTCGGTGCGGGCCATATTTGTAGCAAGCACTGCAACACGTGTATAGGCCTCTGGTAGTCCATCTCGTTGGACGGCTGCGAGTGCAACATAAGAGGTGGTGCTAGAGCAACGGCCAGGTGTTGAGGCGACATCTTGTTTCTGTCTTGTGCTGCCACGACCAGAGCTAGATGGTCGAGCAGGAACACCAAGGTGGCTCTGGCGGCGCGAGGGAGACATTCCACTATCGATGCCATCAGACGAGCATTTCCTTCTCTATCATCAGGGAGGCATACACCTGTACAAAGGAATGATGATTAGATATTTAATTAAGGAACATATGCGTCATGATACTAAAAATATGAAAGTATTAACTGGGCCCTCAATTTCACCCACATGTCTATAGTCTGTATATATATGCCTGTATTATTCTGATGTAAACGCTATATTACTGTAAAATTTCAACAATATCCGTTCAGTAGTTTTTGCGTGTAAGAGTATCAAACATTCATCTATTCCTCGTACTCACAAACATTCTTGTTTATAATATCAATATAATATATACTTTCACTACTAAACAGTTAAATGGGTCTCAATGGAAGAAGCTGCTGGTAATAAGCTATGTCACCCCTCCTTATATTTTACTGTTGTTATTTAGTACATAAGATCAATATTATATTTGGTAAATTCACTCTCAACAGTTAATATACATTGTCTCAACCGATAACATAGTATTAGCATCCAGCAACATCTATATATATTTATCTCTATGTAATTGTCACCTCTACACGAATAAATACCAGAACAGAATTGACTAAAAGATAGATTATACAAAGAACGATATTACTATCTTTTATCTCAAATAAAACAGACGAAGTCGCGGGAAGGAGTTAATCTATAGTATACTATAAATGTGAAAATAGTTGAATTTTATGTAAAGACAGATTATAAAACAATGACCAATATAGGCTATAATTTATCTACAAAAAACATACGATGTCGCAGGATACAGGTACAGATAGACAGACACCTTGTCGTATTTATAAGTTTAGTATAGAACTACTGAAATCCTATTGAATCCTACTGAATTGTGACATTGTAATGCATACAATATGTATAATCTCAATCAGGAAGTAGTGTGTTAACTAATTAACAATATGTAATCTTACCCAGTGCATCCAAGGTCATTTGAAATAGGCAGCGACTGAATAGAGGCTGAGGCAGTTCCCTCAGGTAATCCTTCAAGAGTCCGGTAATAACGTTGATATCAGGAACTGAATCGGGCGCCAACTCCACACCACGCGCGTTTCTTTCAAACGCTTCTCGCAGTATTCGCTTCTTACTTGCCGAGCCACATAACCTATAGAGACCTGTTAATGAAATGTATTTCAATATATATAAGTATTTTCAATTAAATATACTTAGTTTAGATTTACCAATATATATATATATACATATATTTTACTTAAAATTTTCTCTACCAGCTAAAATATTTTAGCCTATTTAGAACGGTAGTAAGTTGTATACTCGAACATGTATCTAAAACTGCACTAGCCAATTCCTACCAAATTTGACTGGGCACGAAGAGAACACGAGCAGCGGAGTATTGATGTTCGTCGGCAAATGGGCCTCTTAAACCTACACCCGAGTCACATGAGCTGGGAACTGCTCTTAGTTTTTTTCTCAGCAATTTGATGGACCCGGCAACCGCGTGGTAAATCAATGGAATGCTTGGCGCCGAACAGGTACTCGCTAGTTACTACAATTACCAATGATGTCGAGCCCCCTGCGCTCGATCTCCTCCACGCAGCGGCGCAGTATGAGGGGCACGGGCGGCGCGTGCGGCGGTCGCGCCTCCCGCGCTACCACGGTCTCCAGCTCGGCGCCGAATAACGCAGCAGCTCGTGTCGGCGCCGCACGCCGCCTGAATAGCTCCACTGGCTCCGTGTGCCGCACACGCACGTATAGCGTGCCACGTGGCTCCATCTACACATCACACACATTATTGTAATAATCACCTAAGCAGTTTTGTAGTTTCTGTACTAGTCGACTGATATAAATGCTTAATGTCACTATGGCAAAGTGCTAAATGGTGTATAAAATCACTACTTCAGAATCAACCTCGGCAACCATGAAATATCCATTACTACTGCATCTGCCCCTGTGGTTCCACGTTCATCACCTGATTCTTGGATACCAAATTTTGCACGGCATTTATTGGGTCTGTAGTCATGCCCGACTATTTGCAGAAAGATGTTAGGGCGCAATACATATAGTATTGCGCCACACCATTGACACCACATTTACCTTGATGGCAAGTTGATGAGAAGCAGCGCGCGAGAGCAAATCTGGTAGAGTGACAGCACCCCGGTAACAAAGCTTGTGCCTATGCTGAGGATCCCACGAGTAGACCAGCACATCCAACTGTCGGTTGTCTACTAACTCCAACTCGAAAGACTCGTCCCAGTCAAATTGGAGCTCACCAGTACGGACCTAATAAAACATTAATATGATTTAAAGAAGACATGACAAATTAGAAAGAGTATCTTATTTTCGCAACAAATTGAGCTTCCAAAGATGTCCAAAAGTAATCCAAGTAGGGTTACTTAACATAATTGGACGTTAAATTTCTTTATAAGTAAAACAGATATAATTTTCAATATAAAGTTTTAAGAACAAATAAAATTGTGGCTAAACAATATAACTCCAAATACCTACCACAGTACGAGCTTTATGTACTCTGTCACATTCCAACACACAGTATAAATCTCTTGGAGCTACAGGCGGTTGAGCAGGTGCTAATGGTCCCGAGGGTGGGGAGCCAGGCGAAGAGCCCGAGGGCGCAGGACGAAGACCTCTGCCAGCTAGCAAGTGTACCCAAAGCATCCCTGATACCCCGCCAGAGAGGCGGGATAGACCGGTCATGGATGCCGATAGACCTCCTGAACTTGGTTTCTCCACTTTGTATTTTAAAAAGTCTGGAAAACGTAAACAATACATATTTTTTAAATAAGAAAATAACAGTTAGTTTCTATAATAAAATAATGCGAAAAATCTGAATTCAAATCCGAATGAATAGCGTTTCCGCTAAAAGTGATCTTTTCAAAGCTTTTACACAATTTTAATTTGCTTTAAAAACCCCGAAAATGGTAAAAACTCTCACCATTAGGATTTATGTCCAAATGTCGCTGATGTCGAGAACTGGGAGTAGGTACTGGACTCGGGTTGGGACAGTTGAATCTTGAACCCAACTCCAGTAGTTGTCGGACGCGACGGGCCGAGGGAGATCCTCCAGCAGTAGGTCCTAATTGTTGCGAAGACAACGAACGGGCTGGCAAGTGGCGAGGTCGTTCAATCCGACGACCAGCCAACCCGAGGGTTGAACCGAAACGGCTACCGCTTTCCATCTATAAATTGAGGTTATTTTACATAACTGGAAGTGAAGCAAACATCCCGACGGATTTTCTTATAGAATGCAGACTGTCAACATGAAGCGCTCTATATATATAATAAACTCAATTGTCTTCTAATAACACTTCATGTATTACCATAGGACGAAGATAATGGCTGTGTATCGTATAATGTCACCTTAACGTGAATAATTTTCTTTTATAACATGATTCATTCCATTTAGATTTTTGTGTTGGGGGCATAATTAACCATAAAAAAATATTTAGAAATAAATTAATATTTCTTACATTTTTAAGTGCATCATGAATATTTTCTGCAGAGTAGTGTGTTGGCAAGCGCGGACGTAGCGTCTCGTAGAGTGCGCTAGTGGATGGAGCGCGAGACAGCCAAGCGCGGTACTCATCCGAAGTGAACACTGATGGCGATGATGGTAGACGACCTGGTACAAATGAGAAACAGAAATTTATGAATAAATACATATATTAATAAAAACAATCCAAACCTCAAAATTTGTTATATCTTTAAATTCTCTATAATATATGGACCCAGACACGATTTAAGTTAAATATTTTTAATAAGTCACAAGCACTCCGTTTTCAATGTATCTTAAACACTCTCTGTAATTACCTCTGGAAGAACGTAGATCCAAACGAGAAGACAGTGGTTCTGGTTCATCTTGAAGAACACTTCCTGCGCGCCTACTTAATCCCAACCTTTGAATAAAATAAGAAAAATTAAGTTAGTTAAAATCAATTTTATATAATTAAATCTCTATAGTTTAATTTGTCATTATTATAGATAGGATATTACCTTTGACCAGTTCCTCTTACATCCCTAGGTAGTGAATTAAATTTGGATCCAATGTCTCTGCCTAAAGTACTACTCCTGTATCCACTGAGACCTGAATAATATGGAGTCCTTGTAGGAGCAGTAGCTTCTGTATCAGACGAATAGTCCAAACTACGATTTCTTCTTGTCGTTCCGAATTTGCTACTATATGATGGCAGTCCTAATCCACTAGTACCATAACCTCCACCGAGAGTCGATCCTAGACCAGCTCCGGAAAGTCCAGGACCTAATCCTGAACTTGTTAGGCCAGATCCCACTAGACTTGAGCCGGATAGTCCGCTAAGACCAGTAGCGGATAATCCAGAAGGAAGACCAGGTCCTCCTAGACCAGTCCCGCCTAAACCAGAACTTAGTCCACTACTTGTCAAGCCGGCTCCGGTCATACCAACACCTACGTATCTCTGATTATATCTTGAGAGGCTTGATGCTGAAAACAAAATTGTATAGTGTTTAAAAATATTCAAAATACTACGAGTATATCAAGCACTTTGAATATAGGGGTAAAATATACTAGGATTTAGTAAATTACCAAAAGACAATTTACCTCCAGCGCCGGCAGCAGCTGAAGCTTTCAAACTAGATCTAAGCAAGGAGTGTCGACCGAAATCCGAGTGTGTTTCAGCTCTAGGCAATTGTTGCTCGGAACCAGAACGGGGAACTCTTCCACCGAAACGGGTACTGAAAAAAAAACAGACATTATTTGACAATATTGTGAAAACGTGGATATTTATTTTGCAAAAATGCCTTTTTCATATTTGTTACTCACCTTCCACTATCAGCTGGGTATAATGAATGTACTTTCTCTGCCAGACTTTCCAGAGTATTCGGATATGATCGCTCATATGGTACAAAATGCGTCGCTGCAGACTTAGGTTGTTCTGTAATAACGGGTGGCGGCGGACGATAACTACGAAACAAATACATTACATAGGATAAAATTAAATCATGAATTTAATTAATTTAAAATTCAGGCAACTCAATTTTTATTTTGAGATATATTAGCTTTGATATTATTGTTACATTTGACTATGAATTGTTGTTTGTTGTCTATGTTTAAGTTTATTTACGAAGAAACTGAATTTTTGATTCTTTTATAAGCTAAACGTTCATTCTTGTATTGACTTGGTTAATTTTTTTTAAAATAATTTTTGTTCGTATTATGTTAACGTTCCACTGCTGGTTACGAGTCTCTGCTCATAACAAACCAATTTAGTCTATTGCTACGCTAACCAGGCAAGTTTATTTATACCCTAAACATCTCTTATGACATCGGGAACATTGCAATGAAAACATTGTATTCTCACATTATTTTCTATCTAAGATATTATGATTATTAAGTTGCATAAACTACTATATATTTCTTACTATGTACTATTTGTTACTATACCTCCATGTCGAATGATCGGAGGGGGGTCTTGGATTATAGTACAAGTCGAGAGCAGTAGAGTCGGGAGAGAGTGCACCAAGTTGCAACCGACTCCTTTCTTCTCTTCCGTCACCGACAGGGCGCACGGCGCTGCCTGGTCCACCGGCGGAGCGAAGAGTTCCATGTCTGAAAGTAAAAAGATTTTATTAAAAATCTTTTCTAATAGTCGTCAAATCAAGAATGGTTTGTGTTTGATTGTATTTGATTATTATCTAATTTGCTAACATTTTCTTTAATTGTAAAGTGAAGGGATTAATCCAAATGTCATTTTCTAATTACTCCAGATATTACTGACTATACTAAAATGTCATTGAAATTTGCACATTGTCATTGCACAATGTTTTCTGCCTATATTTTCGCCAAAGTTTCGAGTGAGATATAGCAGTGAAATTACACTGTATTGATGGAAAGCAACTGATTCCTCAGGAAAGGCTCCGCATGGCAGATACCATAGGGGTTGTATTTTGTGATGCTCGTAAGCTATGCATAGCAATATAGCATATGCTGTGCTGATGGATGTACATAACGACGGTTAACACTTTTCATACAATTTCAATTATAAAAAACAATACTTACTGAGAATATAGTCCATCAACACGATCCCGGTCATCATCATCTCGGCAGTCTCTTTTCAACACCACTACTGGAGGCGGTTTATGCTCGGACCGAGGCATTGATGGGGACCCAGGGCCGGATTTACCTGTTATTCATAAAAATATGCATAAAATATATAAAGCGCATGTTTGCATTTGGTAAAGATCTTGGTCTATATTTATAGAAGTAATTTTATTTCAATTACATGTACTCAGAGTACTTCAGGGTACAGAGTCGGTAAAGAAACAAAGACGCACCGATTAGACCAAAAAAGGGGCCCCATGTGGAATTAATCAAGCATGATGCATATGGAGCTATTGTAAGATAAAAGCTAATTAATTCTCGTTATTTTAATTCCCTATATTTTATTATTAAGAACGTTTTCATTGGCACATAGTAGCAACAAAACAATAAATTATAATAGTAAGTTGGTACACTTCCACAAACGAGGCACTTTGTATTTCAACACGATTAAATATTATTTAATTATGATACAAAATATTAATTTATTTTTAATGAGTTAAAGTAATAAAAAACATATATTTAATTTATTAAGACACTCTTAAAATAAAATATAACTTTCTTTGATACATGTTGAGAATTTTTTATCTAGGTTTCTTATTATTATTATACACTAGCTACTCGGCCCGGCTAAGCACGGGTTTATATGTATTATACATATAAATCTTGTTTCTTGAATCACTCTATCTATTAAAAAAACGCTTCAAAATCCGTTGCGTAGTTTTAAAAATTTAAGCATATGTAGGGACGGACAAACTGCGACAGCGACTTTGTTTCATACTATTTAATGATATACAACTAGAATCTAGATAAAAAGACAAATAGTCAATAATTTATTCCGTCTTCAGTACACACATAATCTGCTGCATATTGTTCATACATAACCCAAAATTTATATAATTCATTAATTTTCATTATAACGTACAAATGTTTAATTACTATTTACCTTTCCGCTGCCTTGTGCATAGCAGCAGCCTTCTGGGTATTGACATGATGATCACAACATCATCAAGAGACATCCGCCTTACGTCCACCAGATTCACAGCCAGGATTTCATCTCCGACCTTCAAACAACCACTGTTATACACAGCGGATTCCAATGCTATCCGCGATATGAATACTCCATCAGTCCTGCCACCTCCATCTCCTTCTCTTATGTACAGTCCGAGGGTTTGTCCAGGACGCTTTACGATCTCGACCAGTTGAACTATGTGACGAGAGTCCTGTTGACAAATTAATATACAGGTTATTTTTTATAAATGAATGTGCAAAGTTAAGTTTCCTTTTGCATCTGCGTTTACGCTTACGGTGTAAGCTCACATTTGCCGAGTATTTTTTTTATTTATTTTTTTCTTTTTATTAATGAAATTGGTTTAACATTATTAGTTATTCAAATAATAATATTATAACTGTATTACTTCAGGAGCCAAGGATATGAAAGTTATAAGTGTAAAATATTTTATCGGACGTGTAAACTATACTTTATATGTAATCTACATATGTTTCATTTAATCTAAATAGTGCCTTCTAATAACGTATGTAAAACTTCTAGTACTAATATCTATGGACGAATAGTTTTGCACTGACATAAGAATAAAATATCTAATAAATTCATATTAGTCATAGATGTAATCTCTTCAAATATAATCTAAATATCTTTATAAACTATAGAGACTAGAATGTAGATCATAAAGTTTGTAACAGAAAATATTTTCTTTTTTTCAAGAACATAAATTAACGCGTACGTTATTAGTTGTATGCCTGTTTGCTATTATCGTAGTATAATAAAAAGACAAAAACTCTTTTCCAACAAGATTGTAAATGATTACAAAAATACAGATTCAAATATAAATATAAAAAATAATCATTAGAGAAGGAAATCCAATACTTAATTATATCACATATATTACAAAAGACTTCGAAAAACAGCATTGCCAGCAATAATCCCACTGTATCTATTGTTTAGCCTACAGGCGAATAGTTCCCTTATTGAACATTATTCCTGGTAATAAAAATCACATACGTATGTTTCACAGCACAGTACTGGCAATGACTAAAGAGGTATTCTATTAATGCCACATACAACAATTTGTCGTACAATATACCACGTACATAGATAGAGAATGGCGTACCATCGCATCCCAACAATAGTAGCTAGATTGCGTTCACATTCCATACGATCTAGGCCACCCCGTCAGACCCGAACAATAGTGCTGGAGTAGCGTTCTTTCACCATACTAGGTTACGAGTTCCAAATTCGGGTCAATGGAGCGCGGTTTAGGTACCTATTTTCAGAGGTGCACATAATAAACCGTCTGGTTTATTTTTATAGCAGATTGGAGTGCAGTTTATACTTGGAAGGCAAAGTGTTACGAAGTTGTAACTTCGAGATATATCTGGAGCCGAGCTGTGATACCCAATTTGAGTCCGATAAGTCGGTAATACCTATTCTAAGATTAGAAACTTTCATGACTGTTGGAGGCAGGTTATAAATTGGGAAGCAAGGAGGAAGGGGGCTGTTAATAATGTGAAATAATGGCCCTATCGCTAGCAATGTAAAAAATCAGATCGATCGTAATCAGGTCCCTTGAATCCATCTGATCTTAACTTACCTGACTTACTATCTTTTTGTCCTTTACTTGTGTTCCACTAGAGTTAATGTTGGCGAACGAGGAAGAGACATTCTATATTCATTCATTAAAATACGCGTAGGTATTCGAATGATGTCGCAATTTATTGAATTCGACATTTGCAGCATCTAATCTCACTATGTGAAGTATAATTCTGAATTACTACTTTACGTACTTTATTATTAGAATACTTAATCTACATTGAAGAAATATTATATTTACCTGCAGTGAAAAGAACTTTTTAGCGGCTTCAATATTGTTCCGGCCCACTTGTCTTATTTCCAATATCCTCACGATCATCTCGCCGCGGCGCTCCACCGCCTGTAAAGACGACAATACGGTAATTGCATATAGAGCATAAACTTTTCAATCTGTGGAAAAAAATATCTCGTTTATTAATAGCAAAATATGAGCTGCATTCCTAAAAGCACTATTTTTAATTATTCTCAAATTAGATGTTAATTCTTTGTATAATCTCAGGTTGCTCATTTACCTGTTAGACCTGTTAGAACTTACCGATAGACAATTCTAAAGGAATTTTCTTAAAATATTTTCTAGTTAAGCAATAATTGTAATTCGGGAATGTATGCTGCATGTAAATTAATCACCTAGCCTATAATATTGATCAATTCCATAGATAAATTATTATAGGATTCCTTGTTAGCATTCCTAACGCATTGGCAACCAAGGTAAACGCGAGTATGAGCTATTTCATGCATTTCGAATTTAAACATATTATATACCTATAGGAAAAGCTTTGTTACCAATTTAACTCATAGTAATACAAATACAATAAATACATTAAAAAAACATAAATTGTGATTTGAAAATAATAAAAAAAATAGTTTGACTTTCGATTCGATTTCAAAGATATTTACATAATACATTATAAGTATGTAAGGAATTAGTAGTTGAGTTCAATCACTTCTTGATTGCTTTTCCTATGTATATAATCGATCTAACGTATAAACCAATCAAATAATTCGAATACTTCCAATGAAACAATTTCAATAATCCCTTACCTCGAGCGCCGCGGCCGTGGTCGAGTCGTGGTCATTTTCCACCATTTCAATTTGTCTGAATATTTCATTGCTTACACCTGATACCTGGAAATAATTATTTGTATTCTACTTAGTGACATAACAAAAATAGAAATAACAAATTTATGGCCTCGGTGGTCTAGCGGTTTAGTATACTTCTATTGTTCACGGGTTCCAGTCTCAACTAGTATCACCGTACAAATATGATTACGATTGTTTATATCGATTCTATGTATATTATTTATGTATTTAAAAAATGTATCTATGTATTTATATCAGTTATCAAGTACCCAAACATATTACAAGCTCTGCCTAGCTTGAAACTAATAAATGGCGATATGTGAATTGTCCCAAGATATTATAATTATTAAAATGTATATTTTTATGTAATAATAATTTATAAAATAATGTATAATTACAGTAGGTATTTAATTATTGTTTAAATTTATATAGTACTAGAAAATAGAATATACGAATAGTACCTATTTACGGTAACTGAAATATGAAAAATATGCAGTTAATTCAAAACAATACAAGACCAAACTTGACTAGTTAAATATTTAACTCGCCATTATTCTTCCATCGTACACTTGTCTCATGAAATATTTTGTATGAGGAGTTTAAAAATACTTAAGGTTACTCGTAAAAAGTATACCATGTGAAAAATTGTAAATATTTTGGAACCTTTCATGTAAACTGCGGGGTTTCGTGATATATTGTATTTTTTTATATAAGATAAGCGAGACGTATTTTTAATGTGCACTTTGTTTCTTGCTTAAAGCTTGGGCTTTAAGCGTTGGTTGGCCAATAATACACTAGGTTTCGTGAATTTATCAGTAATATTCTGAATGGTATATACCTATCCTGCATATTTGATAAGAAATAATGCTTACTAGAATTATAAAATATCCGAATCAAACCCGCTACCAATCGAGTTCGATTCCTCAATCAACAAATCGAAAAATATCAACGTATTTCTATTAATTGTCTAAGACCCATACATAATACAAGTTCTGCTTAGCTTGGCATTAGATGGAGCTGTTTGAATTGCCCTGATATTATGTATGTTTTAAGTTTTCAAAATTATGCAGAGTTGTGGTCCACATTGAGTCTGTTTTGTGATGTGTGTAAATTGTTTATATTTCTTATGACATTAACATGTACATTTTTTTTAAAAGAATACGAGCTGAGTCTTCTCCGTTCATCTCATCTCGAAATTATTCCGAACTGACGGTAAATTTGACATATTTTGAATTTGAATTTGAATTACGAGCTGCGTCTGCTTTTCGCCCAATTTATATAATATTGTCTTAAATTATAGCTTATGGGTTATTTTGATGTATATGCTATATTATTGTAAAGTTTCATCAAATACTGTAAAATTAATAATTTTTGAGTAAAAATTAAATAGTACTCACAAACTTACGCATGTTATAATATTAGTAAGATTGTTGTGTCAGAACGAGGCAATAACAATTCTAAAATTATATTTATTATTAAATAATTAGATTTTGTTTGTTACCAAACAAATATTATTTTTCAGAGATCGCTAGTAAGTATAGGTCTGCTTGGCGGTTACCTTTCGGAAGTCTGGCTGCAGAACGCAGGGCGGCGCGTGGTTGGCACGCGGCAGTTGCGGCGGGCCGGGCGGCGCGCGGCCCGGCGACGCCGTCAAGTCCGGTGCCGCGCGACCATTCTCCTGAGCAAAGAATTGTAACATTTAGTATAAGGGCCTATTTAATATCAAATGCTAGTCAACCAATCCGTGACAAGGACGTGTGTCGAAACAGCATCGAAATATCGAACTCTTAAATAATATGATTATGGTAAATATATCTTTTATATAATCTTTACATTTTAACTGTAAAATTACGCAATGGATTATAATAGATAGTGATTCAAGGGGAAGGTTTATATGTATAATACATGTGTTTTATAGTCAGTGATCGGAATAGGTAGATCTATGTTATGTACTTGCCATGTGATAAAAAATATGTATATTCCCCGAAACTCAAGATTTGTTTTTAAGTAGAAAAATAATATAAAGCTACTTATAATTCTTTTATTCTTTTTACAGAGAAAGAAAACATATACTTCCTATATATACGGGTTAAAGGATAGTACAATACACTTGATTCATTAATCCATATACTATATTTTTTAATGTAAGAATAACATTGTTTGCCATTTTAGCTACAACAAAAATAAAATAAGGACACCTAAAGAAATTAGTTTCATGATGTTTACTTCATTGCACTGAGTTTCACAAAACGCAAAAAAATTTCTGTTCCATTCTTAATGTAAAGTGAGAAAGTCTGTCTGTTTATTATTTTTAAACAGCTGAAATTTACTTCAAATAACATGACGCTCATAATATGTTATCGAAATTGACAGTATACGATATAATTTGAATATAGTGTTGAAGATATAACTCAATAAATTCAAGGAAGGGAATTCAAATCAATGAAAATATCTGTCGAACCCTTTTCATTTCAAAATTATGACTCAGCAAACAATACCAAGCCGGCGCATCTTTATTTCGGATATTCAACAGGATCAAAGAATAGCAACACAAACGAACATAACTGGTTCATTTAACTTTATACTTATCAAAGATATCATATAAACCTACGTGATGACAATCTGCGAACATTTTTCTTATTTCGCTCTTAAATAACAGACAATTGCTCGGAAATGACGGCATGACATCAATTTTCCTTCGTTTATGATCTTTCCGAGGTACCAGATCAGCTATATAGGTCGATCCAATTTTAAGTAGGTAATCTTGAAATGAGGTTTGTAAAAACGAATTGTTTTTTAATATATTATTACTATATAAATGAGAATGTTCCATCTTTTACAATATAATGAACCACTGTCATTTTACTATATGCACTTAGTTCATGATTTATTTTAATTAACAATTTTGCGAGACTTTATTAATTTTATAATTGGCATTACCTGCGTAAAACTTAACTTAAACGAACAATGTTTTCAACTTGAAATATGCATGTATATTACTCGCATATTCTAGAATAAAGATTATTGGGAATCATATTACATGTACATAAATATAAGTTAGACTATTAGTATTCAGTTTCTACGTCAAAATGAGTTAATAATAAACGTAATGCTTATATACGTCGTCATGAATTATTTAATACAAACATGTACACGTATGTTTAATTAATTACTCAGGAAATTGAATAATTTAAAATCCACGTTAAATTATCTTTTAATTATTAAAACACTGTATCTAAACGAGAAAATATAGAAGTACCTATGAAGCAAATTACTGGTTTTACAACGTAATGAAGTTATATAAAAAATAAATCTAATCAAATTATTGTATAATAGCACTAATAATTCTTAAAATATAGGATCTATATCAAGCAGAGGAAGTCGGATCGTGAGGGTTATATTATTTTTGGTGCGAAACCCTACAAAATTAAAGCACTGTAACCTGTAGTTGAAATGTCGTCCTTGACCTGTATATTTAAGCTATAAAATATTCCATAACTTTGCATCATATATAAAATAATTATGTCTCTTTTTTTAACGTTTAGAAAATGTTTGGAAGTTTACTCAATTTTACGACTATGACCTACTTTGAAGTTCATATCGAGTAAGATTTTTGTGTTTCTGTGCGAATGCGTTGAATTTTGGCGGTCGATCGAGTGCGCAGACAAGGGGTTGGTGGAGGCACAAGGGTGAGGGGGCCCTGACCTACTTCTGCGGACCCCCTTCCGTCCCGCACCCCCTCTCTAGTACGCACGAGGTCACTGTACTGCAGTTGCAAGCATCCGAACGCTAGAGTTGACTGGACTCATCTTTCATACAATGTAAGTTGCAAATAAACTCAACAGATTGCAACGTATATCCAACGTTGTTACAAATTGCAGATCTATTAATATTAGTCCTAGAGAAATATTTTATTTTTTTATACGAATTATATCGTAAATGATATAGTTACGAAGCCACTCCTTAGTTCTAAGGAGTGGCACTCCACATTATGCGGAGGATGTATTCTGCGATATCTATATTGCTGAGTTTATACTTAGGTATATTAGCATTACATACAATTTTCATTGAAGTAGACCATTACTCGTTTGCTAATTCAAGTTGTATAAAATACGAATAATAAATTTCATTATCAAAAGCTGCTATGTACAATTGAGACTGACTTACAAACAAAATTTTGTATAAGTTGTTAGTAGAATTGATAGTCGAACTAGTAGTATTTACATTAATAAGTAAATCTAGTCAGAACATATCTTATTCATACCAATTATATCAGATCTCTAAAAGCTCTCTGAAAGTATATAATTAAATAAAATTTGGTCTGTTGGTAATTTCAAGTTAACAGCCTTTCACTTTCTGATATCTAAAGTTATAACTTAGTAAAGTAGTAACATAGGCTACTTTTATATTAGAATTATTACACCTAGTATAAAATATAAATCGAAACGCCACAACCTAAATTCAATATCTAATTTTTCATATCGGCAACATCATGCACACGGCTGATTCATATCGTCCGCCCGTCCCCACCGTAATAGCACACAAAAAGAGTAATAACAAAAAAAAAACGATTGTAATCCACATTCCATTGGACCTGAGTTTTCCAACCTTTTTGTTTGTAAAGCAATTACACGACTTTACATGTCCTTTTCAGTAAACCAACAACACGGCGTTTCCATATTGTTTTTAAAACATCACATTTACATACATCGCACGCTGCAAATCTTATTACTTACGACATAAAACCTATTTTATGTTGTCTATTTAATAAACAGAAGGTAAGCTTTCTCACAGTAGAAAATAGACGGTGGATAAAAGACTTCAGAATGCCGGCTGTCATGTTCGCTTTTAAAAATAATCTTGACGTGGATGGAATAAATGAAGTCGGACAAGTAGGTGTGGTACTGATATCTAAAGGGTTCAGTACCGATGATGGAACTTTACAAAAGCGACCTTATGGTTTTTGAATCGATATTTTAGTTTTGTTACAAGGAAAGCGTTAAAATTCAATTAATTATATATTAAAAAAAAGATTTTCGTTTCAATTGTTCAGATCATAACTACGGTTTTTTCTAATAATTCTTATTTAATGTATTTGAGATTCCATAATACGTTATTTGCTTCGAAATTAAACTCATAATATCAATTAGTGTCAGCTTAATAAAATATTAGTTCATAAACTTTTATAATGATACCTTAATTTTAGTGCTAATTAGTCGTTAATTAAATGTAAAGATAAATTACAGGCTTATTTTTAAAACTTGAAAATATCCATTATACATTATACTACAAATTGAACTGAAATATAACAATATTTTCGAGTCAACAGTGAATCCGTAAGCTAATAAAGACTGTTTGACATTTAACCAAAATATTTGAGTAATTACAACTCAAATGGAACGCTACCTCATTATCGATATAAGAATTATTGCTTTGATTTTAGTGTACGTGTAATATTAAACGTCATTACTGGGCGCCGCGCCAGCCAGTCTAACTCGTCAGACCTCATCGTATACGTCATATTATTTATTCAACCACTACCTGCCGACCCGGTATATCTATTTAAAGACGCCCCAAGAAATGCCACTGGAATCTACAATAGAATTCCAATATCTTGTGCCTGCATTTACAGGAATTTTCCCATTATTCGAATGGTATGTATTCTCCTATTATAATTTAATAGTTGATCAAATATGGAACCTGGGTAAATGTGATGAATAGCAGTTGTATAACTGCTATTTAATGAAAACATAAAATAAAGTATTTGTACATGATAAAGTATATCGTTTATATGCCTATTGTAACTTAAACAATATCACCTCGAATCAGAGCTGAATATCTGCTATTGGATTCAAAGCTAAAATAAAACAAGCAAGAGGAATAACATACATAATAATAATAATAATAATCTCACGACAATTCACACAGCGCCATCTAGACTTAAGTTAAGCTAGCTAAAGCTTGTGTTATGGGCACTAGCTAGATAACTGATACAAATACATAGATTTTTTTTTCGTAAATACATACATATTATACATAGAAAATACCCAGACCAATACAAACAATCATACTCATGAATACAAATGTTTGTGCCGTGCGAGGAATTGAACCCGCGACCATCGGACGTAAAGCGGTGTGCTAGACCGCTAGACCACCGAAGTCGTCGGTGGTCTAGGGGTCTAGCTCTAGACATAATTCCTATATACCCAGAATAACAGAGAGGGTGAACAGTGAGTGCCCCTCTGAGTTATAGACCGTTTTGTCTCGTTCATTACTTTTAAATTTTATTATTGAAGAGGCAGCAATTGTGGTAGGTATTTTTTTCGAGACAAATAAAGATGATTATTATTATTATATATATTGTTTTGCATACTTACAGATGTGCTCCCTTGAAATGTTTTACAAATAATTCCGTGTAGAGTTGAGGATGTAAATCGCTTTAAATCGAGCAATACCAAACGTACTACTTATATTTAGGGCCAGACTTAAGAGTAGATGCAGTTGTTAAATCTATTTATATACATCCATGCCTGAATATCGAATATGAACCGATAAGCTGTAAAATGTCACTATAGTTCTCAGATATAGTAAACATTTGGTATTAATTTGTCTGCATGGATACCTCTATTCAACTCCACCTTTCAGTTATTTCAGCCATCAAGCAGGTTGATTTCTGAT